GTTCATTCGTGGTGTTAATTTGGACTTTCAGATCACAGAAGAGTTGGACATCCGTTTGCAGCATGCACGGAACAACAACTGGAGAAGACATTTTCATGGAAGTGCAGAAAACTTTGCAATGCCATAACCTTCAGTGGAATCAGCTTCAATGTGTTACAGTTGATGAAGGAAAAAACATGGCTGGAGTGAGGAAGGGTCTGGTGGGGCAGATACGAACTAAGTTGGAAGATCTTCAACTCCCGGGCGCTCTGTGTATATACTGCATTATATATCAGCAAGCACTCTGTTGGAAAGATTTAGATGTTTCTGGCGAATTGAAACCAGTCATTTCTGCGGTGAACTTCATTCGGGGTCATGCACTTAATCTTTTCTTGAAGAAATTGATTCTGAATTCTGTGACTTGCCTTATCACACAGCAGTGAGGTGGCTCAGCTGCGGTAAAGTCCTGTTTCATTTTTATAAGCTCAGAAGAGAAATAGATATTTTTCTCACCGAGAAGAATAGAGCTGATCCACTTCTGTCAGATCCTACCTGGCTGTCAAAGTTGTCATTTTCGGTTGACATCACATCCCACATGAATGAATTGAACATGAAACTACAGGGAAAGGATAACCTTATCTGTGATCTCTACAGAATCATTAAAGGAATTCGGAGAAAGCTATCATTGTTTGAAGCACAACTGGATTGAGGAAACTTCTCTCATTTTCAGTGTTTCAAAGGGTTTTGCGCTGTAATCGCAGAAGATGTCAACCTCGAGTTTCCAATAAATATTATTAGTGACTTAATTCTGTCGAGATCTGAAAATCTCTCCAAAAAATGCTTATTTGAGAGTGACATTCTTCTGTTCCAGAATCCGTTTGATTGTAACCTTGATGACGTGCCAGTCGAACTACAGTTGGAGCTCATTGATTTGCAAGCAAATGACTTGTTGAAAGAGAAGCACAGAGAAGGAAAGCTTGTTGAATTTTATCACTGCTTACCTGATGATGAGTTTTCAAAGTTGAAGAAATTTGCCTCTGGTATGGCATCAGTGTTTGAAACAACTTATGTCTGTGAGCAAACATTTTCAAAAAGGAATTATGTGAAGTCAGCACATTGAACAAGGTTGACTGATGAACATTTGAAAGCAATTCTCTTGGTTGGATGCAACAATTCCAAAGCAAATATTGATGATATCTCAAAAGCTAAACACCAGTTTCACAAATCTTACAAACCTTTTTTGCTGCTTAGTTTGTGAGATTCGGATATGTGCACACTGGGTGTGATATAACTACCTTATTGCTAACGTCGTCTTCTTTGATAACTTTTTGGAAAATAAACATGTTTGTTGTCTTTATTTTTTGTGTATTCACTGTATTGTATTGAACAAAATGGTTATGCGGCCCGCACTCGTCATTCTCTCAGTTATCTAGCCCGCTGTGAAAAAAATTTGGTGACCCCTGTATTGAGAGATAACTGAACTTCCAAGTATTTTCTCTCCATCTATTGAGAGAGAACTTAACTTCCAAGTATTTTTTTTCTTAATTTTTTCTCCATCTATTTAGAGATAAGTGAACTTCCAAGTATTTTTTTAAATTTGTTCTCCATCTATTGAGAGATAACTGAACTTCCAAGTATTTTTTCTTAATTTTGTTTTTCCACCAATTGAGAGACAACTGAACT